CCAGAGACACAGTAGAGAGACATCCTATTTTTCAAATTGGACTTCTCCTTCCGCCTCCAACTCGTGGACTTCAGATTCCCCATCCCGTGTGATTTATTTGTCTTCTGATTCGAGCGAATGTAGGCTTACCGAACAACTGACCACTGGCCTACATTGGCGGTTCTCTGGACTGCGGGAAAGTGCACTCGACCGTAGTGGCTGGCCAAAGTGGCTGACAACCATTACGGCGAAAACGGCTAATGAAGTGATTACCCTTTTCGGATTCCCCGGCGGCGGCGGTGGCAGTTGCGGCATTTTCCACACAAATAACGTAACTTGTACTGTATCAAAACGTTTTCCAGGTACCAGAGCGGCCGCAGTCCCGACTGGCAGTGATCGGCTGTACTTGGCAGCATAATTAACTCCGTTTGCTGCTGCACTTGAGCGTTAAGGTTAGGGAACATTCCAATGGCAGTCGCTAATTCACCTGTCCGAAGAAAGTACTCCTACGTCTGAGACAGCTTTTATTAGGAAAATCTTGATGGCCAGATAGGCGGATTATTATTACTGAAAGCCAGACTTTCTCACTTGCAGTAACTATGGCTGAAGTACAACCCCTGATATCGAGTAGCGCCTTTTTTAGATATGAGGGTGATTTACAGCTGTATACTTTACCTTTTTCCAAGGTTACTTCAAAGTAAAAATGATCATATTTGATCGGTGTTTTCTTTTGATTTTTCTGAGAGTGTTTGATACACGTTCTGCTGAAAATGAAAGGACTCACTTTTCCCTTTCTACGAGAAGGTTTCCGCTGCATAGGCTGTTGCTTTAATGCTGTGTTCTAACAAAACAAATGAGGCAGGGAGACCGAATGTATACTTGAATTTCGCGAAAACAGCGATTTTGTTGTCCGTTCCTTTTGTAAATTCAACATTAATGAGAAATATATAATACCTGAGAAATAACCTGCCACATGTTTCAAATTTAAGATACCTTGTTTTGACGTGGTACAAAAGACATTATATTTGCCGTTCAAACACTTTATGTTGTAAAATGGAATACGGCAGTACAATTTAACTACCCCGTTTTGCTCTAGAAAACTGTAAAACTAAGCAAAAAAGATGTGCGTAAGGTTGAATGTGATTCTTGCTTCCGGCAAAACATGTGATTCCTCGCGTACGTATTGTTTATCTGTAGTCAGAACCGTATACACAAGTGATTTGTATTAAGTACTTCTTTATTTTATTACGCAACACACAGAAGGAAGCGATTTTATTCCGCCATATTACATATCACAGGAAATGGCTTCGATATTTCAGGGAACCTTCGATATCGCCAAAATCCTGCCTGCTTTTTTAATAAACAAGCTTGGGCATGCAAGTTTCTTAGGTAAAAGGATTTCTGAACACCGGCCGCAGTCAACAAATAAGAAGATGAAATCCATACACAACTCCTCACTTTTATTCCGATAACGAAAATATGCGAGTTAGGTCATCTACGGAGGCATTCCTTTGTCTGGAATTTGTCAATTTTAAAATATAGGGAGAGTTTTTTCTTCAGCTCTTGGGCATATCTAACAGTGGCTGAACTATTAAGACCTAGCTATTTTGTTTTATTTTCTGACAAACGCAGTTTTTATTTTGGATTCCCATGAGGCCATTGCGCCTCGGTTACTACGCTCTTGGATTGCTTTTCCATATCCAGGTTACACTCAGTGTACACATTGCGTCCCTTGATTTAATCATTAAAATTCTTCTGAGCAAAGAAAATTTCTGTAGGAGGTTTTCTATGCTGAGAAATGTAACACAGAAAAAACGAGGCTACTTTGTTGTCCCTGGCCATAAACCAACTACGACCGGGGCAATACTTTTCGTCGTTTTCAGTACTCAAGGAAGCAAAAAAGTGTTCCTAGCCATGAATCAAATATCCATTTTGCTA